TTTTTCAAGGGACCATAAGTAATTGGACAATTGACTCAAAAGCTGTTTCATGGACAGGCGTGGGCTATTCTTTTGTTATTTCTACATCAATTAAGCAGGTAAAAGGTCTGGAGTTGATTCTAAATGTGCCGTTTGCATTTGGAAGCTGTTGCTCTGAACTCATGCATACATCATGCAGTCAAAGGATCTCTCCATGCAAGTGAAACAGACAGTTGTTAGGCTTCAAAAACAAAACAAATCCATTAGAGAGATAGCAGGAATATTAGGAGTGGTCAAATCAACAGTTTGGTAAATTCTGAGAAAAAAAGAACGCACTGGTGAGCTCAGCAACATAAAAAGGCCTGGACGTCCACAGAGGACAACAGTGGTGGATGATCGGAGGATCCTCTCCATGGTAAAGAAAAACATTTCATAACATCCAGCCAAGAGAAGAACACTCTCCAGGAGGTAGTCGTGTCACTTTGAAAGTCTACAATCAAGAGAAGACTTCACGAGAGCAAATACAGAGGGTTCACCACAAGGTGCAAACAAGGCCAGATTAGACTTTGCCAAAAAACATCTAAAAAAGCCAGACCACTTCTGGAAAAGCATTCTTTGTACGGCTGAAATTAAGATCAACCTTTACCAGAATGACGGGAAGAAAAAAAATGGAGAAGGCTTGGAACAGCTCATGATCCAAAGCACACAACATCATCTGTGAAACATGGTGGAGCAGTGTGATGGCATGAGCATGCATGGCTTCCAGTGGCACTGGGTTACTGGGGTTTATTGATGATGTGACAGAAGACAGAAGCAGCCGGAAGAATTCTGAAGTTTATAGGGATATACTGTCTGCCCAGATTCAGTCAAATGGAGCAAAGTTGATTGGATGGCACTTTATAGTACAAATGGACGATGACCCAAAACATACAGCAAAAGCAACCAGGAGTTTTTGAAGGTAAAAAAGTGGAATATTCTGCAATGGCCAAGTCAATCTCCTGATTTCAACCCGATTGAGAATGCATTTCACTTGCTGAAGACAAAACTAAAGGCAGAAAGACTCACAAACAAACAACAACTGAAGTCAGCTGCAGTAAAGGCCTGGCAAAGCATCACAAAAGAGGAAACCCAGTCTCTGGTGATGTCCATGAGTTCCAGACTTAAGGCAGTCATTGCCTGCAAAGGATTTTTTAACAAAATATTAAAAACATTTTATTTATGATTATATTTATTTGTCCAATTACATTTGAGCCCCTGAAAATGGGGGGACCGTGTATAAAAATGGTTGTAATTCCTAAGCATTTTTTATGTTATATTTTTGTTCAACCCCTTGAATTAAAGCTTAAAGTCTGCACTTCAATTTCATCTTGTTTTATTTTTAATTTTGTTTTGGTGGCATACAGAGCCAAAATGATGAAAATTGTGTCAGTGTCCAAATATATATGGACTTAACTGTATGTTAACTGTTTAGTTTCCTATATGGCCCAACGTGTGAATGAAATGTGTCATGGACTTACATTTCCTTACATTGTCTGCATATTATGGAAATCTCCTAGGACTGTCCTTTGAAGAGGCATCAGCCATATCTGCTCGTTTTCAGTCCGGGCTGGAAAAATGCTGTTTACAGCCCCAACCTGAATGTATAATTCAAGAGGTGAGGAGAAGGGTCAGGGGAGGGGGTGGGCCACTCGATGCTGTGTTTTCATCAAACCACAATGAGCAGCACAAAGGTTCAAATGTCTCTTGGGACAATTCTTTTGACCAGTAATCCTTCTGGTGGTGCATTTCTCCTGTTTCGCTTCACAAGATGTCTGATGATATGACAAACAAAAATAATTTTTTTTCTCTGGTAACTGATGAAAAACTGCAGCTACTGGAAGATCTAATACTCACGTTTCTAATCTGACATTTTTTTTCTTTTACTCTGTGGCTCTAAACTTAATTTCATGGCCATCCTTTTATGGGCGAGTTCCTTTAGAACAGCCTTTTTATCTGTATCTTCACACTAATACCTGCAGTCAGTCACATAATGCTTTTATCAAAGCTGCTGTTTCTGTTCATTTCAATTTCATCATTATCATTTTTGCCATTCAATTTTAGTGTGAATTTGACCGAGCTCTGATATCATGTGAGTAAAAACCAGATTCATTGTTCTTTTCCTTTCATAATAGCTAACAAGCTTTCAGAAAGTTCTCTGCAGTGAATCCAAACTGGATGCCATGTCTCAGGATTTCCGGAAGTGCTGCAGTAAACCTGCCCTGGATACTCTTCCCTGCGTGGATGACTTGAAAAGGCAACCTCGTCAGTCTGCAGACGTAGCCAATCCTGTATCATCTAAGATCTGTGAGGAAGCTCAACCACATGGGATTGACAGGTGCTATTTTAATATTCATCAGATATTCAGAAGTAGGGAATCCATGCGTCTCTTAAAGCAAAGGTCAACCGGAAAATATATTTCTGCTAGTCCGCTTATTTCATTCTGATGTGCTGAGATCAAGTGCTTTGTTGAACGAAGACCTTGCGATCACTGCACCATATTTTGATCTGTCTTAATGTGGTGTAAATGCTAATGTGATGCTGAGTAATAAACAGTAATTGGCATATTGCGTGTTCACCGTGACCCACTCTGGGAATAGTCACCCAGTCTCCTTTTCCCAAACGCAGAGAGGAGAGCGTTCCTCTTGATTTTGATCTTTAGCAAGCTGCTTAAAGGGCAAGAGTGCAAATAGTCATGAATTATTCACAGAGCGGCTATGAATATGAGCATATTAGCAAAATGACTCTCTGAATGCTCATTAATGAGAAAAAAGCTTTAGACTTTTGCTTAATTTGCGTTATGTTCAGATGCTAAAGCTCAGAATGCCTCTTGTGATCAATTTTTCATAGACAGATTAAAACAAATATCTATCTGGGCTGCAAGAAGCACTTGAAATCTAGTCGTAACTGTGCAACAATGCGTTGTTTCACGAGATCACCTTCTCGCCTGATTCTAATATTAATTTATTCAGTTATCAGAATGAAGGTAAAACACAGCTGGACCTTAAATTTTCCTCACGGGCATGAACATTGATGTGGTGGAAACTATTCTTATACTGTATATTCCTGCAACTAATAGGATCAGATTACACTTATGTTAATATGGATCAGACCCATTTCTCCTCTGTGTAACATTTCAGATCCTATTTAAATTTTTGCTTTGCAGGCTCAGGATCATTTTCCTGCAAATAATGCCTTGAGAACTAACCATTATAACAGATTGCCCTCAAAGAAAGATCTGGCCATTTCCCTCCCATGATGGTCAGATAAGTTGGCTGTTCTCTGATCAGCACCTCATGCCTTTCGAATTTAGTGAAAATGTAGCCAATATGCACTGCACGTGCTGTTCTGAATAAGCCGTATGAAGTCACTTGTGTGCCTGGGTGGACAAGAAAGATTGAACTCTTGCTGAGAGGCAGACAGCCGTGCAAAGAAACTTATGTTTAATTTATCTTGAACTGTAATTAGATGAGCCACTCAACATGGAATTCAAATGTGTTCTAGCATGTTCTGCTGAGTTTACCTCAGGGCCTGGTATCATTAAAGGTGACATTTTCACAGTGCTTCGAGGGGCTAATACCAGGTCATTTGTTGTAGCAAAGTGTGCATGCAAGTGAAATTAATGTGAGGCAGGGCGCTCTGTCAGAAATTTAAGAAGAACATAAGTTTTCATTAATATTAAAATAAAGGATATTTAAAAGCATTTTAAGAAACTGATAAGACTCTCAGTCATTACACAGCCCAACTGTACCCTCTAGTGGTGGAGCATAACACTTTAAATTCTTAATTTTGGGGTGACCTGTATATTAGCCTTTAAATGTATAAATACATTATTTTAAGCTCTACACTGTGTGAAATAGACTAATGCCAACAAAATTCTGTTTTCAGAAAGCATCTATGATCATTAAATTCCACAAAAGATGCATTTCATGCATTTTTTAGCAATTGTTTTATTTACTTAAATAATATAAAATGTTGTTATTGTTCACTGAAGCTATTAAAAATGTAAAACAAATTGTTAATTACAATTTTATGAAAAACCTAACTTAAAATAAAAAAAAAATAGAATTGTTGTCCTGGAAACTAATTGAAATAAATAGGTAAAAGTACAACATTTACTAAAACTAAAATGAAAATGCATTTTAGTTCAATCATATATGTTCTTGCATAGTCCTTCACCATTTTGAAAAATTCAATTCAAAATATTAAAAATATAACACTGGCAATATAATATTAATGATAACTCTACGCCAGTGTGTAGGTGAGGTATATTGAATCGCTGACACGAGAGAATAGTTTAGTCAAGCCTTTAATGGCGACGGCCAACACAACAATAACAAGAAGCCCCAAGCGCGAGCTCCGCCCAGGCCAACGTGGCCACGAACAACGTCAGGAGTCACGTCACGATCCACGACACACTTCACATACTGGCGCCACCCATTTTCCCTCCAGAACATACCCCCTCTTCTCTGGCACCTGTGGACATTTGAAACAGACAAAAAAAAGGGAACACAAAAGAGTGACATGTGACGATAAAAGATGAGTCAACGGAACCATCTGTCTAGTGAGAACAGCACAGCAGATCCTTATGGAGCCTTGCAGAATATTAATGCAAAGCTACAACAAAACTCTCTCAAAGCAAAGCAAGGATACGGGTGAAGGCAGCCCATCTAGTGCAGCTCATAATCCTTTAACTTGTCGGGAAGTTGACGGAGACGGCCTGACCGCCGAGGAGTCTGCACCGGAACAGCTGAGAGGGAGGCTAACTCATGGCACGGGACCTCCACCGAACCTGATGGGGACACGGTCCTTCCCTCCGGACATCTGCTGTCATCAGACCCAGGGGGTGAAGCGGGTGTCGCTATCGCCAGGGGGCTCTAAATGATAGCCAGTATAACATTCAGTCTGGTGAAAAGTGTCAATTAAAAGGGTATTCATGAGTTCGCCTGCCCATCCAGTCCTGATTGCTGTCCTTAATGGAGGCTCGAACCCTAGGAGTTCAACCCCAGGGATACCGGAAGAATTGACAATGGGACGGTGGTCACAGTGCAATGAGAGCTGCTTATATAGGCTCGTAATGATGATTGACAGGACTGAATGATTAGGCTCCTCCCGAACCTACATTTTGAACTTCATTTTGAGCCTTACTGATGGGGCTGTGGGTTTGGGAGAGCCCCCTCCTATAAAAACTTATATAAACTCTGTCAGAAATAGTATGATAAAGACTATAGCACTATAGCACATTGTTTGAATACTACTTGTTATTAAACTGAAGACAAAAGCAAATAATTCAAATATTAACAAGAACATATTGATTCTGTGTTAACCTTTGCATTTTCTATAGAAAATCATTATACACTATTAGAGGGATGTTAAAAAGTATAAACCTGAAGAGAAACATTTCTAATTCAATTCGAAATTCAGCACTGTCCACAACAAATATTGATATATTGATATATAGATATAAATAAATATATAGAGATATAAATTGGACAGAACCTTCTTATGGACCCCAGTTTTAAAACTCCTGTCCTAGTATTACAGCAGAAACCTAGGGTGAAGTGACCAGAACCTCCTCTGGAGAGTATTTTCAAAACACCTTGAGGTCTTGCAGCCGCCTGCTGGTTAACTGAACGTTTTTGCTCATGGGTTACCCTCAGAACATGCATTTATAGTAGTGGCCACAAAATATAAATAAACTCCTGATGTATGGCATAGCAGGGGTTCACAAAATAGCATGTATCCTCCTGAAGTCAATGTATGAATGTGATCAAAAGCATGTTTATATGTGTGTGTGTGTGTGTCCAGATACTTGTTTCTAATTGGAGTGAATCATGCCTCCATTTCTCTTCCTGTGCTGACGACCGTTCTCGATCGAATCAAGAACACAGTAACGGCCTGCTGCTCATCTGCCGATGTCACAGCGTGTTTAACGGAGAAGGTGAGATGACGCTTTTCCATCTGAGACTGACATGATCTACCAGGTTCACGACAGGAGATCTTTGTATCATAACAGGTTGATTTGATGCCACATGTTCTGTGCTTAGCTGCAGATTTTCGGTTATTACACAACCAAGCCATTCTTCAGATTTCAAGGGTTTTGTATTTGTATTTTCAAGGACTGTAAGACAGCTCAAAGCTGGGTAGACGGCTATTGTGAGAGGCTTCGATCTTTTTGATGCATGTCTTGCAGCACAATGCCTCATTGAGTGACTTCATTTAGCTGTGAAGACTCATTTCGGTTTTGAGATTGGGATTGTATTGTTTGAAGCTCTCATCAGAGCTGAGACGCTATGCTGATGGATTCCAAAGTTCTTTTGGCAATAATACAAGATAAAATCGCATTGAGTTGAGGTAGACGGCATTGCATAAGGATGCTTGAGAAAAACAACCTTCATGAAATCCTATTTTAATGCTTTCACCACCGGAGCTGCAGGAGAACTGCTTTTAATGCTTGAAGATGATATCAAAATCTCACAGGTAGCCTGATCTAAAGCACGTCACTGTTTGGTTAATTTAGCCTTTCAGTTTTCCCTTGCAGATCCTCCAATTATCTGCTCGCTCGCTGTTTTTCCACATACAGTAAATGGCGAAGTGCGAAGAGTTGCTGGTGAGAGCATCTAATTGAAGGGTCTAAACTGAATCTGTATCCAGAGAATGAACGTACATTAGCATGCACAAACGCAGCTTGCTCGCCAACTGAGAGAGGGTTGCGAGATTTCAATTAATTTAGAGCGACAGGGTGCTCTTTGTACTCGCTGGGTGCTAACCAAGCCCGAACTGTCATAACAACAACGCGGTACTCTCTCATCTTCTCTCCTGCTGCTTGACTTTGAACATTGACAAGGAAAATACATAGTCATTTTTTATTTTAAGGTTTGGATTACTGGTCAAACTGTTCTTTCATTTTTTTTCTTTTCTTTCTTTCTCACTCTCTCTCTCAACTTATATCAATCAGGAGAGTAAATTGAAAAAGACTATAGCACTTCTGTCCAAGTTGGATGGCACTTGTTCGTACTTCAGACTGGACCTGCCTTCGTTCAAAACTCTGTAAGTTATGGTTAGACTGGAAAAGAACATCATCAGAAGATGTTTTTAACAACAGGGAATTTGAAAGGAAGGAGCTGGTTGCAGATCAGCAGAAAACTCATCATCAACGCTTTATTTCCTGCAGGATGCAGAAGGAGGTGCAGGGGGAGGGAGGTGAGAAGCAAACACAAGCTTGGGTGGACTTGGGAACATCCTGCTGTTCCCAGCGCTCCCCGGCACAACTATGTCAAAAGCTGGTGAGCACACTGACTAACCACTGCCCTTGGAAGTTTCAGCTATAGAATATTAATTTTGCAAAGATAAATCAGTTATTCATCGTAGTAGTAATTCCATGTGTAGCACTTATTTATAGATTATTTATTGCAATAATATTTTTTTTCCTAACGTAAATTTCTTTTGAAGTAAATTTGTCAGTTTTTTTTCCTGGAAAACAAAAGGGGGAAAATGACTTTTTAGAGAACCTGACATTAATTTAAAATTTTCATACCTCCTGTCTTCGGCGTAAACCAAACTAAATTGCATTAGATTTCTCCTTAGAACAAGATAACTCCATTTATCAGCGGGTAAGAAAAATAAACTTAAGATAGTTCACCCAAAAATGAAAATGTTGTCATCATTTACTCACCGTCATGTCATTTCAAACCTGTATGAGTGTCTTTCTTCTGTTGAACACAACAGAAGATCATTTGAAGATTGTTGGTGAACAAACAGTTGCTGGTAGCCATCGACTTCCATTGTATTTTTTCCATACTACGGAAGTCGATGGCTACCGTCAACTCTCTGGTTACACACATTTTTAAAAATATCATCTTTTGTGTTCAACAGAAGAAAGACACTCATAAAAGGTTTGGAACAGCTTGAGGGTGATGAAATGATTTTTCATTTTTAGGTGAAGCAGATGTCAGATCAGGTTGCAGGCTGTTTGAATTGATTAATAGACTTTAATATAGTTATTAAAATCAGGTTTGACTAAAACTCATGTTTTCTTTTTCAGACAGAGGATGTTATTAAATATGACGATGACACTGTTTAAAGAATCAGTGTCAGCAATTATATTGGATGACGAGATCTTCTAAATTCCCTCTCTAATAGGAAATGTCATCCCTCGCTATTTGAGATGTTTTAAATACATTTTCCACTTGCTTCAAAGAGTTTTGTTTTTGTCCTCTGTTCCCTTTGTTCTTTTAGCTCATGAGGCTTGTGGCATTTGCAGTGTGATTGTATTAGGCTCCTGTATGAATAACCTTTACTGTGAACATAACGTCTACGATAAGATGATTTCTGTTGTTGCTATGGCGTTTCATCACACACTGGAAGACTCTTCAAATTTACATTTGTTTTCATGTACATCTGCAAATGCTTTCTTAGCCAATGGACTGACAAGAAATAGTTCATTTTCGTACTTCAGTAGATTTCAATATATTTTTAGCTAAAAAAAGATTTTTTTGATTTTGTTGTAGTACTTGTGAATAGAATGTACTTTATTGTAGGCGCCATTGATTTATCTGAGGAATTTAATTTATTTTCTTTGTCAGGTTTCAGGTAAGATCCACAAGTTAAATTAAAACCTCATTTGTGTAGATGGGTTTTAGATTCTACATTTTATTGGCAATCAGAAAAATATAAAGCACTCCATGGCAGGAGGAAAAACACAAAGCACCATCAGGATGGCATTCACACATACAGTATGGGGGACAATAAATGCTCCTATTTATAAATATGAAACCATGCACACTGATTTAAATATACAACTTATTCAACCCCACAAATCCATAAAAACGCAGGATTTTTGATCCCCCCCCCCCTTGAAACTTTGCATTTATGGAGGACTTGAATATTCCAATTCACTCATCCCATCGCCATCATTTGTTTTCCTCAACAGGATTCTTATACAATACTCCTTTAAATGCTTATAGATTGTTTTGGTCTCATGAGGATCAATATAGAGCCATACTGTATTTCGATGAACCCAATATAAATATATGTTCAAAGGATGTTTTGCTAATGTTACCATCGAGGAATGAAAATATTTTTTCTGAATGTTCTCTGAATGCTCAAAATGTCCAGGTTTTAGAAATGTTTTTTTTTTCTTCTTGGTTTTATGAACATTAAAGAATGTTCTCAGAACATTTTGAAACAAGTAACGTTTATAAACTAAAATGTAACAACTGCAAAGTTCCATGAACAATATATAAATAATGTTTTTGAGCTGATGTTTTGAGAACATTCTTAAAGACCAGATAACTATTAATGAATATTCTATTAAGGTTACTGGAAGTTTACTCAGTGTTTGTTCATAACTTTGAGAGAACCTTCCCAGAAGTTCTGGGAATGCTTCCTGTTAGCTGGGCACACTGAGCTTGAGTAACAAGAAGCAACAACATCTCTCTATCTCGCATTGCTGATGAAAGCTTTTCCAACTATAGTTTGGACCTGGAACTTTTCCTTATCGGGCTGCTCCACCAGCACAGAAGTAGACTTCAGCTTCTGTAGGGTCCTTTTCCCAATTTAAACTGCTGTAAAAAGCATCTCCAACTCTTTTCACAGCTGTTTTTCTGCGTTCCGGTGATTTTGAGGTGCTGGATTCAATTAAAGTAGTTTTCATATCGAGTTCATGCATGCAGATTAATGCTGGGATGCTATGCATCACTTTAAAATGTTTCTGATGGTGATGCACTGTGGGACTCTGGGTAAGGAGTGTGAACTACATGAATCATCTAGAATAGATGATGTTCTTAGGTCCTAAACATGTTCTTCTTGTACTAAGATGGCAAGATGTATTGATCTGAACAGACGAGACGGTCTATCTATAGTCAGGGACTCGCGTCTGTCTGCTGCAGCTGTCTGGATCACTTCTAATGCAGCAGAACAAAGAATGATGAGAGACCAAGAAGATGTGCTGAATGTCTCCTGAAAGCCTTCAGCTGGACAAAACCACCAGAACTCATAAATATATCTAAATGGACTACGCAAGTTTTGCTTAACATGAAAAGAACCAACAAATGATATGATTTAGCATTGGAGTTTACTGAAAGCAAGCTACTCTTTTTACATGATTTTTATAGATTACATTGTATGATCATCTAGCCTGACAGTCTAGCAGATGTAGGAAGGTTTTAGTGTGTCACATTATGCTGTAATAATGCATTTGAAAGGCTAATACATTTGGAAAGTGATATTAGTTGAAATGAGCATTAGGGGAAAGATTTTCTTGTGACTTCACACAATTTTTAACTGCATTATTATTTGAAAAACTGACATCAAATATTTATTTCAAAGTCTTTATTTCTCTTCCTTCTAACTAACATCTTTCATCTTCTTCCTTAAAATTCTCTTTAGCTGGCAAATTGTAGCTTTCTTCTCTAGTCTAGACCATTGAAGTACTATCTGTACTTTGTTTTTTCATAAAATGTCCCAAAAAGAAAGGCCTTTATGAAATTCTCCATTTACTAAATTATTATAGATATTCTATAGTCTATGTGACGGGACCTGTTGCAGTGTTAATTGTGAACACTAGATGGTGACATTGTGTCATCTTCAGTGAACAACTAACAGTCAAGACACAACTATTGTAGTGCCAGTTCATGTAATAAGTTAATAAATTATTAGTAAATGTTTCAAAAATGGGGCTAAAACCCACATAATATATACATATACATATACAGCGGGTAAAATAAGTATTGAACACACCACCATTTTCCCCAGTTAATATATTTCTAAAGGTGCTGTAGACATGAAATTTTCACCAGATGTCGGTAACAAAAGTAATCCATACATACAAAGAAAACAAATAATTTCAGAAATTAAGTTTTGTGTATTAAAATGGAATGACACAGGGAAAATGTATTGAACTACTGAAATGTATTTAATACTTGATTTTCAACCGGCTCGCGGTTAATCGTTACACCCCTAATATATATATATATAGAGAGAGAGAGAGAGAGAGAGAGAGAGTGTAGAAATACTGTGAGTTTACAAATAAAGTGAGTTGTTCTCATACACAAATACTTTTAATGCAGCAAAATGATTTTGGTAGGGTAATTAGGTGTGTATCAGATAAAATTATATTAAAGTCGGAAACAAAAGTATAAAAAAATAACGCATGAAAAGAAATGAGGAGACCGTTTAATAAATTCTGTTCATTTTTAATATTCATTTTTATTTGAAAAATATAAATTCTAAAATAATTTCAGCTGTTTTGTTCTAAAAATTCACAAAACTTGATTAAAAACGTATCTTTGTTACACACTCTACAATTAATATTTAGCATTGTTTAAACGTTCAAGAATTTCCCCAGACATGCTTTCACATATATTTCATCTTTAGGTACCCCCAAAAATATAAGTTAAAAATCTTTTACATACAAGGTTAAAAGAAGTTGATTTTGAAAATACAGTATGGATGCTATCTGTATAGATCTATTGATTTTTTTTTGTTTTTTTTGAAAGAAACAGAAAAAATAATGACAAATTAGCAGGAATCAACAAAAGATAATGAGTTCTTGAAAGATCAAAGAGAACGTTTAGGACATGCACTGTATGACGGCACTAATGTCATCATTCAAATGCATGTACCACATTGTTGACATTTTCTGACTCATTTTTACAAATGACAACTTGCAATATGACATTCAGTGACTATAGACATCAAGTAAATAGAGCACAAATAATAAAAAAAAGTGATCTGACTTACATGAGACAATCTTAAAACTAAAGGAATTTCATGTATTATTGCAATTCAGGTTTAAGCCACTTAGGTAAATCATTTGCAGGACAGCAGACCCTGGAGTACATGTAGGTTTACACATGTAGACTTTTTAGGGTTTCCATAACCAGGTGGATGAAGCAAATGCCTAACAAGACTTGAAACCCTAAATGAATTATTAGGCTTTCTTAATTAATCAAGCTTTTTAGAACGTGTCTGGATAATTAGGCATAAATATTGGTAAAGGAAACATATTAGATTTAATACCACATATTATAGGAAGCAATATGGAAAATAGCAGGTTCAATGCCAATCAATAACATTAACCATCATTAAGAAGTTAATCAACAGTTAAATATTACAATATATTGTCACAGTTGTTCTCACCATAATACAAGTCATTTGTTGAAAAGTCTGCTCAAGATGTACATTTAAAAAATCAACATTAAGATCTCATGCTGTGCAAATAAAAAATGAGAAAAGTTTTTTTTTTTTTACATAATGCCTACCATGTAAAACAGAGGTAGAGCAGCAAAAAAATAAAGGAAAAGGAAAGATAGTGTCATGTTAAGTGAATTTGGTAGAAAGACTTATATTGCATTGGATGAATAATGGAGAGAGTAGTTGTAGAAAAGTGTAAAAACAGCTACAGCATTTCTCTACAGCTCAACACACAAGTCAAACAATGAACTGAATTGCATAATAGTTTAGGGATTACAACTTGCAAACCGTAGTGATTAAGTGAGTGAGAGACAAGTCTTCACAAAAAGGATCCGTGATGAGGGACAGTCTTTATAAAAGATCCCTTGGCAAATGGCTTTCTGCAAATTGGAAGAGCTAATAAAATCTATGTAGCAGTTTGGAGGAGTTATATGGACGTCTCAGACCCTCGACTCCTCCAGTAGTAGCCATTGTTGTCATCTGGGTCCATATCTATTTTGATCTGAGGCACATTTAATGGCAGTCTCTCTGAACTGAAAAAGACAGACTCAATCAGTCCACTTCTGAATAGGCATTCAATTTATTTCCCAGTAACTACCAAGAATTTCTTTGAAACTAACTTGTGGTTCAAATAATTATTTGAACAACTAACAAAGGTAAGGGCATTATGTAATCACAAAGCCTTGACAAATTGTGATGTTGTTAGAAATTAAAGTGGCTTTCAGTTCCTGCAGCTTATTGTATTATAGAAATGTGCACCGCTGTTTATGACGTATGCAAAATCTGAACACAGATCCCCATTATTTAAATTCACTGTGTAGCAATCCATCCATACTATAAATACATATTACTAACAACAGCTTGAGATGCGTACCTTGACATCGGGCTGGTCTGCAAGTAGTGGCGCTTTTCAGCACGACGCATATCGGTCAAGGAATGAAGGGGACTTTTCTCCTGCAAGAGGGACACATGGTCCATTATTAACACGTGCTTGGCTTCACACATAATGCCTACCATGTAAAACAGAGGTAGAGCAGCAAAAAAATAAAGGAAAAGGAAAGATAGTGTCATGTTAAGTGAATTTGGTAGAAAGACTTATATTGCATTGGATGAATAATGGAGAGAGTAGTTGTAGAAAAGTGTAAAAACAGCTACAGCATTTCTCTACAGCTCAACACACAAGTCAAACAATGAACTGAATTGCATAATAGTTTAGGGATTACAACTTGCAAACCGTAGTGATTAAGTGAGTGAGAGACAAGTCTTCACAAAAAGGATCCGTGATGAGGGACAGTCTTTATAAAAGATCCCTTGGCAAATGGCTTTCTGCAAATTGGAAGAGCTAATAAAATCTATGTAGCAGTTTGGAGGAGTTATATGGACGTCTCAGACCCTCGACTCCTCCAGTAGTAGCCATTGTTGTCATCTGGGTCCATATCTATTTTGATCTGAGGCACATTTAATGGCAGTCTCTCTGAACTGAAAAAGACAGACTCAATCAGTCCACTTCTGAATAGGCATTCAATTTATTTCCCAGTAACTACCAAGAATTTCTTTGAAACTAACTTGTGGTTCAAATAATTATTTGAACAACTAACAAAGGTAAGGGCATTATGTAATCACAAAGCCTTGACAAATTGTGATGTTGTTAGAAATTAAAGTGGCTTTCAGTTCCTGCAGCTTATTGTATTATAGAAATGTGCACCGCTGTTTATGACGTATGCAAAATCTGAACACAGATCCCCATTATTTAAATTCACTGTGTAGCAATCCATCCATACTATAAATACATATTACTAACAACAGCTTGAGATGCGTACCTTGACATCGGGCTGGTCTGCAAGTAGTGGCGCTTTTCAGCACGACGCATATCGGTCAAGGAATGAAGGGGACTTTTCTCCTGCAAGAGGGACACATGGTCCATTATTAACACGTGCTTGGCTTCACGTTCTGCTGAACACGAGCACTATATACCACCTTCATGCAGTTTCATCATACAGGATCAACAGCACCAGCACGCTTTATACAGCAGATGCATGCAAAAAAGCCAAACACAATCAATGAAGACTAAAGACCTCCAATGATTTCATATCGAGTATGTGCTGGGATTTCACGGGATTATTTTTAATTAGCATTTTCATTAGATAATTACATCTTAATACAACTACGAATTAAGATGTTAAAAGTTTTAGTAGAACAGAAAACAGAGACTTTGCTACAGCTTGTTACACACTAAAAAAAAAGATGTAAAAAGTTATATTTTCTGTATTATTGTCAATCTCAATTATCATCCCTGACTCCATGTTAGCATGACACAAAAGATGGTTGAACAGTCCATGCAAAAATGAAAATGTGCTTAAAATGTACTTCCCCTCACGCCATTGAAAATGTAGATGAGTGTTATTTCATCAAAACAGATTAGGAAAAATGTTGTTTATCCCAAAAAAATTATATAATCACTTACATATCAAAGGGTCCTTTGCAGTGATTGGGTGCCGTCAAAATGAGAGACCAAACAGCTGATAAAAACATCACAATAATCCACATGAATCCAGTCCATTAATTAATGTCTTGGGAAGTGAAAAGCTGCATGATTATAATAAACAAATCCATCATTAAGAAGTTTTTTTTAACTTCAACCATTGCTTTTGGATAGAATATGCCACGAGTCCTCTATCCATGCTATTGCTTTATCCAGTAAAAAAAAAATCAACTCATCTGAATCAGGAGAGAAATATGCACAGATCAAGCACTGTTTACAAATGAAAACAGTCCAAAACAGTTGTATCTTGAGATTAGAGGATCACAAGGGATGGACTTTTTCACTGGATTAAGCGTATGGATTATGGTCTCGTATTTTGGCCAGAAGGGATGGTTTAAATTTAAAATATCTTAAAGATTGATTTGTTTCTTACAAAAAGGCTGCAGCCTTTCACTTTACAAAATGTTAAATGATGGACTAGAGTACTTGTGAATTATTGTGATGTTTTTGTCAGTTTGAACTCTCATTCTGACGGCACCCATTTACTGCAGAGGATCCACTGGTGAGCAAGTGATGTAATGCTAAATTTTCTCCCAATCTGTTCCGATGAAGAAACAAACTCATCTACATCTTGGATGGCCTGAGGGGGAGTACATTTTTACATTTGGATGAACTATTCCTTTAAGTTTAGAGTAACAGTTAACTAAAATTGCAAAAGTAAAGCAAAACGATTACGACAGGGCGAGAAAAGGTAATGAAGCTGTCAGTTACCACAGAGGACTGACAAACTCCACAGGCATTATGTGACAGAGAAGCAAGTGGTAGCATGCACCGCATATGAAAGGAAGAGAAAGCAAACTGCTCATGCTGAATCATTCAAGAGGTACAAATTGAGGTGAGGCCCCAGGTCCGGTCTACTCACTGTCAGAGGCCTTATCTCCTAAAAAAGGCTCCTGCTCCATCATGTCCATTGGGATTTTAATGCTGGGGACATTCTCATTGTAAGGATAGTCAGACTGCACAGGGAGAAACGGTCAAAAAGGGCTTTAGGAGCTGAACCAGATACACCAGAGTAGTTCACACTTCCTCTTTCACAGCAGCCCAAATTTTCATAGTATTAAAACTAAACGAAAAAAGGTTACAGAATATTTATAGCTGTCTGACAATCATGACTACCAAGTTTCTTCAGAGTGTGACTGAGGCTGTTTTTTCTCATCTTTTTGCTTTGTCATTGGTAATGTTTCAAGGAAAAAACAAATGAAAAAAAAAAACACAATTAATCAATAAATGAATGAATAAACAAACAAAAAACAAAAAGAAAGAAAGAAATAGTCTTTCAATCAATCATCAGAACATAATGTGTATCACACACAGGTACTAAAGTATTTTATTAAAGGGCAACTAAGTAAACTTATTTCCAAAGCCCGAAGTCTTCTTAATACTAATATAAAGACATTTTTTCAGGACACTCACATCTTCCATGTCACTGTCTATGCTCCCTTGTTTCTTCTTTTTCTTTTTCTTCTCATCTTCCTTCTTCTTCTTATCCTTCTCGGGTATGACATCATCCAGGAAACTGAGGTCGTGCTGGGAGAAGACATAGTCCAACGCCTTCCTCACAGCAACCAGAGCCAAGATCTGACCAATGAGAATAGCAAATGGTGCTCTTTCAGTTAGTGCATATACTACAGATGCATTTTGCAAACATATTGGAACTTGAGTGTCTGTTAATATTATTGCTGACTGACAAACATCTAAACATTACCAACATTCTAGTGCAACATGCATTTTGTCCCTTTTCTAATGGGGTGCAATACGTAGCACAAGTACTATACCAGTCAACACTTTTGAATAATTCCGATTTTTTTTAATGCAGTCTTGGTGCATTATGCAGTCTTGGTGAGCAAAAGAAACTTCTTTCAAAAACATTTTAAAAATCTCAAGTATTCCAACTTTTTGATGGCTTGTGTAATATTTAGCCTTGACGCTCTCAGTTTTGCAGTCACAGCCGCTTCCAGTATTAATGTTCAGTATTAAATCAACAACAGGTGAAAGAGGTGACTAACCATAACAGGAAAGACGATGGCAGCCACAGTGGACTTGAGGATCCAGAGGAGCGCCAGGCAAAGCAGCTGGACGAAAGTGAAGAGATGGACCTTCCTCAGTGGCACATGCCGCAGGTAGATGAGGTCTGGTTGGTGTTTGGCAGGCATGAGGAGCAGCTTGAGTCGGTCCATAAACTGAGAACCAAAGAGCATTATTAAAAAACAAAAACTAAAAAAAAAACATACTTTTTCCAGCTAAGTTACTGTCAAACGATTTCAAATAGTGATTATTAAAATAATGTAATGTTTTTGTAAATATGATTATATCTATATGAATTGAATTCCACTTTCTTAAGCCTCGTACACACCGGGACGATTATCGCGCGCGCTTATCGCCGACGTTTTTCGACGCGTCTTTTGTGTTCATACCCAAGCGATTTTCGCTGGCGATGAGCCGAGTGAACGTGCAAATTCACTCCCTGACATTAGATGGCGCTTAATGAAAAACAGAAATACCCCGGTACACATCGAATCCTATTTGATCTGCAATTCCTCTCCATAACAACTCCCTCTTATCGAGATTTTTGTAGTCACTGTCGCGTTTGTCATAAAGCCCTTTGTGTTCAGACACCAATGAGACCAGCAGCTCTACATTCATCTTGCCTCGATGCATCTTCTTGGTCTACTTACTTCCTCTTCGTCGTTAGGTATCAATGTGTGCTCGGCAAGACCGTTTTGTGCTTGAGCGCCACCAAGTCGTGTTTTACTGTTACTTCAGCAGCTCCAGGCACGTGAACAAAAGCGCCAATGTCATTAGTCGGCCAGTTTTTAACGCGGTGCGTCAAACCAAAAAAACGAGCCCAAGGCGTTTTTAAAAAAAATTACGCTTTTACGCCTTGCATTTGTCGGTGTGCACGCTCACATTGGTGCCCTTTGTTTAGTCACGAGGCGATAAACGTCGGCGATAATCTCACGCGATATTCGTCCCGGTGTGAACAAGCCTTAAAATTCCAATTTGAAATATAATTCTGCATCCCAGAAATGTAATTTAAAAGGCTTTTTTTTTCAATTCAGTTTTTAATAGCACAGAATTGTGTTGGTATTCACCTGAACTCCGTTGAGTGAAGCCACTCCCATGTAGAGGAAGACTCCATACAGCACTGGCATGGGTATAAACTACAGGAAATAATTATTCAATTAGAACAGAAAAAGAAAATCACACACATGCAGCAATGTGTTTGACGCAACTGGATGTATTGTATTGTTACCTTGAGGATAGGAGACATGAAGACAGACAGACCAGTAAGGATGAAGACAAAGACACCAGTGACTCTCTGTTCCCTGAAGAGGAGACAATTACAATAATTAAAAAATAAATAAATAAAAATAATTGAAGTCTATCTATTATAATTTCAACTTATGACACTACATAGCCAAAAGTACACTACTGTTCAAAATGTTGGGGTTGGTAAGATGTTTTAATGTTTTGGAAATAAGTCTCTTATGATCACCAAGGCTGCATTTATTTTATCAACTATACAGTAAAAATGATAATATTGTGAAATATTATTACAAATAAAATAACTTTTTTTTTTATATATATACTGTATTTTAAAATGTAATTTATTCCTGTGAAGTAAATCTGAATTTTCAGCAGCCATTACTCCAGTCTTCAGTGTCACACAATCCTTCTAATATGCTGATTTGCTTTGCAAGAAACAATTATGTGATACATTTTTCATCTTTAGGAGTCTTTGATGGATTCAAAGTTCAAAAGAACAGCATTTATTTGAAACATATTTGAAACAATTTGTAATTTTATATTTTAAAATGTACTTTTAATCATTCTCATGTGTCCTTGCTGAATAAATGTGTTCATGTCATTGAAAAAAAACAAACAATAAAAAATCTTACTGACCCCAAACTGTTGAATGTTAATGTTTGTGGGGTTATTTGGCCAGGTTTGGCTATTTCAGCTGCACCCATGAGTAACAGGTGCATACAGCAATAAAGCATATATCTGTACAATCTTCACAGACCAACAGACATTTAGTGTATCATTGTTTAAATTACAGGAAGAAGTCAACTGGCAGATGCTTTTATCCAAAGTTACTCCTCCTGGATTGACTTGTTCAGGGGCATAAAGGTGACTGTTTATAGATTTTAACCTGCAATCTTGCAGTCACCAGCTCGCATCTTTAACCATTAGACCCCACCTCTTTAATTACTACTAATAATTTCTAATTATAATATCAATTATCATTAATATCTGAAATATTTTGGAGAATTAAATCATATTGGATTGCTTAACCAAACCAGAGAAGCATTAAAAATAAAACCTAAATACGGGCACAGTGTGTTTTCAGCAGAACTAGGCCTGTTTACATTTGTTCAGCTAACAGCTGCATCAATAAACCCCCTGGAGTTCAGTCCAACATGCAGCTTTTTAACAGGCGTCCCACTGAGCCCAACTCTGTAATCAACGAGTGATTCAAAAGCTCTACTGGCATAGACACTGTACAAATACATAGGAATCACCAAAAATCTTCTTTTATATGCATTAGAACGTACCTGACACCCAAAAATTTAGGCTGTTCGCCAGGAGCGGATGTCTCTGTCTCCATTTTCAAGCTGTCAATGTGGGCGATGGAAATAACTGTAGCAGCTACATACCAGGGCAGACCCAAAAAAGAGCATACTGCTAACAGCACAGCTACCCAGAAGAGATCCAGATGATAGCCTGCACCTTTCTGATCAAGACAGAGAAAAGAGGTTGTTTACAAAATGCTATTGGAAGAATCAAAAACATTGTATCACTCACAGTGCTTGGTGACATTTTACAGGAATAGTTCACTCAGTAATTTTTTTCAGATTATTTACTCAGTCTCTTGAAGCTCTAAACCTGCATGCAGGTAAACAATGACTGAATTTTCATTTTTAGGTGAACTGTCCCTTTAAATAATCCATCAAGTGCTTTATTCTAACAAATAAAACTGCTCTGCATTACACAAAAGTACAGTACAATATGTCACCAGGGCAGTGTAATTCTCACAGAGATGAAAATAGGAGTTCTTCCATGGGGAGGCATTATAGTGAGAGGACACAATGTTTTGAGGCCAGTCTCACGTTACAGGCCAAAAAAGAATAAATGCTTTGCCTTTGTCTGATTCACAATTCCTTATTGTTCCACTCAGAATCTGGACCAAAAGTGTGACGTTGGGGTGAAACTGCTTGGTGAAGCACTGAGTTTGAATTTAAAATGATTTAAATATAATATAGCCTTGTGTAGATTTCATGATTATCAACAAAACCTGTCTAGCTGTCATCTTACAAACTCAGTATATTAAAAAAGTTTTCAATGTAATATCAAAAAATCAAGAAATATCAATTGTCATCATCAAAACATCAATCTGTTTAAATAATGCTATTTTTGACTCCAAGTGCTGATTCACATCCTCCAGACAAAAGATAAAAAAGCTCTATTTGTAAGAGACTTTCTATAAATATCCGATATAGTTGCCCATGGCACTGTGAGTGTTTCCTGTGGTCCTGGGCGGCTCAAAGTGAGCGTGATAAACCATCTGGCTCAGGAAAGAGTCACACAGCGGAGTCACGGCAGGCCTACCTTCAGCTTGTGCTCCTTGCGATTGACAATGACAGCGGTGATCTGCTGATCCATGAAGAGCAGGATGGTCACCAGCAGGGCAGGCAGAGCTGCTGCCAGGTACACCCACCAGGGGTTCCCTCCGAACGGTGGCACAAACCAGCCACGGTTTGGGCTTGTTGGCTGAGGACACGAGGGAAGTTCAGTTTGAGGATCACAGAAGTTTGCGGTCAGGGCACTTGGCAAATGTTTACAGGAAACGAATGGTAACATCCTGAGTGGATTGGCACTGACTCATACTGTGAATCTGTACTTAAGATGCGGCAAACAGGGAAAGGCCAGCCAATGTACTCTCTGATATTTGTTTTCCTGAGCAAAATCTATTTCTATTAAGCAGACCCTCTGGCCACCAGAGTAGAAACACCCCATGTACCGACCCATGCAGTGTTCACTGTGCCAATACATTCGGTAGAAATAAATAACATCTAATGCAAGTTAATCTCTTGATTAGACTATCTGTCACATTATTCTATTCATACATTGAATACAAATTTTTTTTAGATAACCACAGAAAAACACATTATAATGTAACTAATTACAGGTGCATCTCAATAAATTAGAATGTCGTGGAAAAGTTCATTTATTTCAGTAATTCAACTCAAATTGTGAAACTCGTGTATTAAATAAATTCAATGCACACAGACTGAAGTAGTTTAAGTCTTTGGTTCTTTTAATTGTGATGATTTTGGCTCACATTTAGATAAGTTATGTCAATAAAGTTAGACAGAAATAAAATAATGCATGACCTCTGTGGGCTTCCATACTGTATGTTTGGAAACAGTTCATCATTTCATTTGACATTTCTAGGATGTGGTTCTTGTCATGTGAATTAGAACTAGTAAGATTTTTTTATTTTTTGAAAGTAATTATCGGTAATTCTTTTATTTAGCAAGGATGCATTAAATTGATTAAGTGACATGTATAATGTTATTATACGCATAAATCATTTTAAATAATCAGAAGAATCCTGAAAAAAATATCACAGTTGTTTTGAATATTAATAATAATAAGAAATGTTTCTTGAGCACCACTTCAGCATATTAGAATGATTTCTGAAGGGTCATGTGACACTAAAGACTGGAGTAATGGCTGTTGAAAATTCAGCTTTGCCGTCACAGGAATAAATTACACTTCAAAATATAATTAAATAAAAAACAGCTATTTTAAATTGCAATAATATTTCACAATTTCTTCTGTATTTTTGATCAAATAAATGCAGCCTTGGTAAGCATAAGAGACATACGTCTTTCAAAAAAACCTTACAGACCCCAAATTTTTGAATGGCACTGTCTGTGCTGGAGCAATATTAGAAGTGCACATCAGAAGGAACATCTCTTTACAGTAAAAGACAGACAATATGGACAGAAAGATTACCTTAAATTCACTTGGCACTATGAGCTTTGGCGTATCGACCCCAACAAGAGCATCAACACCACAGAAGATCAAAATTGCCAGGACAATGGCAAAGTCACTTATGAGTTTTCTCACCTAAGAAAATGGAAAAAATATGCTTTTTTTAGGAACTGCTGTAAGTAATGAGTATGACGTCAGTAGTCTTTGGCCTCAACAACTGCAGTATTGATTAGGTGTATAGAGACTGGATTGACAAAACAATTGTCTACCTGCCCACAGTATATGGATTAGAGACTAAATATTGATTGCCTCTACACATGCTGTATGATTAGAGGCACAGATTGACAAATCCATCACAAACACGCCACAGGTGGACAATGTGGCTACTTACAGTAGTAGGAAAGTACGGGCTGGTCTTGAATTTCTTCAGACACATGGAGCAGGTGTAGGTGCCAAAGAAAAGGATGAAGGACATGAGGGTGATGTCGGGCACAAAGTTACAGGCTGTGCCCACTAGCTCCCCTCCGTATTTCAAGCATTCCTTCTTTGACAGTGAGGACCAGCTGGCATTCAAGCGCTGCACAAATGACAAAAAGACATGATCAGAACATCAAATCTACAGGTGTCTGGATCAAACATTTTTTTAAGTTGTTAATTTACAGAAAATCATGACATTCCTTGTAACTCTCGTTATGAAACTAGCAGCAATAAGTCAGATCTTGTTGATTGATTTTACAAACCCATGCTAAATAATTTGCATTTATGTAATCATGTTTATAATAATAACTGAGGTATGAACTGAAATTGTTTTACTGTGGTGATCTGCATTATTAGCACACAGACCTACAGTAACTTGAACCCAAGACATACATTTAAAGTTGAGTGACACTTGTGTTATGAACAAAGACAGTAGCAGAACATTGAACACTCTCCAGTTTCTGTTTGAAGGCTGATGCTTTGTTGTCTTCAACCTCTCTGAAGTTTTACAATGACTCTGTTACTGTTCAAGTTTGCACAAAAGGTGCGAAACATGAGCTATGGCTCATTCAGTCACAAAGATATTGGCAAGGATTTGGGCATTATGTTTCATTGATCTCAAACTGAGGACTACATCTGAATGAAACCATTGAGAGATCTCTATTATTCGCAGCTGGGAGCTCAGTTTGGCTTTAGAAGAGGACAAAACGTCAGGCAGGTCTGGAGAAAACGTTTTATGAAAACAGCCAACAATTTAAGGATTAAATGGCACCATGTACTTTCTGAACATAACCAGGACAAGGAAGTTTTCTCCAGTGTGTTGTGTAAGTTCTGTTTGGTGACCTCAATAAACCTAACAAGTGAAATACACTACACAAGTTTTGTCCAGATTTTTTCATTTTTAGTCTGGAGCAGTTGATAAAAGTTGCCTAAAGTCAGTGCCAGTCTACAGATTCTGAGCAGTTGACAGGTTTCACAGAAAATCATGTAGTGCATAATGGGCATAGACTTCGATTATTAGCTTTTTCAGACTATGATTCCATTCAGTCAAAGGATATCAAATATATTTTATATTTTTAGCTGATTTTATTTTATTTATTTATTTATTTAGACATATATATTTTTTTATTTGTCCTGTTTCTCCTAGAAATGAGGAGCATGTTTCTCATGTAGTGTATTACAGCCTATGCACATATATTAGTGATGTTTTGAAACACTTACTGTATCGCTGTAATTTACAGTCCAGATAAATGTTGAATCAAGTGGATCAGTGTACACATCTGAAGAATTGGCTGAAAAACACAAAGGTCAAAGGTCTGAAGTGGCCTTTAGAAAAGAACCAAAAACATACAGTGGGGCTCAAACATGTAAATCTGAAACCTGGAAATTTTGAAAAATTCTGAAACTTTATTATGTAAAATAAATAAATAATGCAAATAAAAATAAAAAGGAAAATCCAAAATAGAAAGGTTTTCACTTCTCATTTGTGGGACATATTTTCCCATTTTATGTGTAAAATGTAACTGTAACATTTGTACTATTTAAAGGGTTAGTTCACCCAAAAAGAAAATTCTGTCATTAATTCCTCCCCCTCATGTCGTTCCAGACCCTCGTTCATCTTCAGAACACTAAGATATTTTTGTTGAAATCTGACAGCTCTCTGACCCTCCATAGACAGCAAGGGTCCTACCATGGTCAAGGCTCAGAAACGTAGTAAGGACATTGTTAAAATAGTCCATGTGACATCAGTGGTTCAACCGTAATTTTATGACGCTACGAGAATACTCTTAGCAAAAAAAATAAAAATAAAAATAAATAAATAATGACCTTTATGACGTAGTATCACTCTCCATAAAGGCAGAAGACGGTAACTCGCAAGAGAAGAATTGTTGTATAAACTCTTTATTTTGTTTTTTTTGCGCACAAGAAGTATTCTTGAAGTCATAAAATTACGGTTGATGCACTGATGTCACATGGACTATTTTAACAATGTCCTTACTACATTTCTGAGCCTTGACCATGGTAGGACCCTTGCTGTCTATGAAGGGTCAAGAAAGCTCACAGATTTCATCATAAATATCTTAATTTGTGTTTGCGAAGATGAACGTAGGTCTTACATGTTTGGAACAACATGAGGGTAGGAATTAATCACAGAATTTTTATTTTTGCGTGAACTATCCCTTTAACACACTTGACTCAGACGATGTCACTATTTTCCTTTAAACTCTCAAAAAACATGACAGATTTCACAAGCAGATGCTCACACAAGTGCAAACATTTTCTCACGGTTACGGGCGAGTCAAGCACAACATATGTGCCAACCAGTTCGCAATGACCGCTGTAAAATGTTCACCACTTCTCCACAGCATTAATCTTTAAAGAGACTCTTTGCTGGGTTCCCCTAACTGGAACTAATTTCCACACAGCTGTTGTTTCCCTCTGCAGTATCGGATTGGAGAGAAGTCGAGGGAGGGTGAAGAGGAGCAAACAGCGGTTTAGAGGAAAGCAGCATGAGTGGATGAGCGCCCCACCCACCAGCTCCTCTCTGTACGGTCTTAATTCACCACACACATGGAGGAGATTAACCCCAAACCACATCACGTCCACATCCACCCCCAAGATTGCTCCTTCATTCCTACTGATGACACCACACACACAACGCCACTAGCACAATAAACAGATGAAGTGAATGTCAAAATTGTTGCTAAGTCAGCCACAAAACATTACACCGATACAAAGAAGAGATTTAATTATTATTTCAAAACTTCAGAAACAAAGTTTTGTAACTGTTCAGTGGTCTGAATATCAAACGGGCCCAGTGGTTTAGCAGTGTGATAATTGACTAACAACATTCTTTCACACCAATATAAAACCTGCATGAAAAAACCAAAGCAGATGACTGCAGAAAGTATCAATTCCTGTTCTTGCTGTCTTCTGTTTGGGATGGAAACTCAAGTCACCCTTCAGTCGCTAATAAATTAACTTGAGTGAAGTCACAGTCACAATAGTTCGTTAGCATGGAGAATTGACATGACCATCATTAACCCGTTGCAAAATCTGCATGGTAAAAACTTAATAAAACTTAATGCCTTAATGAAATTCCTGATTGCGTGGATTCCAATTAAAATGAATGTATTTTGCCAGTAAAAAATTTGTCAGACAAAGGTAAATGCACCTTTATTGACTTGAGACTTGACTTAGACTTGTATACAACTGACTTGAGATTTAATCTTGTAAACAATCGAGTCTTGACAAATCCATTAATCTGAGACATGACACTCAGAAACTGCTGGTTTGATACTTGACTTATACTTTGTCTTCGAGACTCCGAATTAGAGAAAATCTATGAGTGTATAGAAAACTACTGTCAAAAGTGACTTGACATGGATTGTGACAAAAGACTTGAGCCTTGACTTGTACTGTATATCAGACACCTGTTATCATGTCTGGATATAGTAGCTGCAAGCCATATGGTGCACTACTGTGTCCTGCTGAAAATTAAGATGCAAATGGAATGAATAGCTATGGCATCACTATAATTATATCCAGGGAAAACGACAACTGAATTGAATCATCATGCACTGTACTGAGTTTTGGATATAAAGACAAAAGCAATCCTCTGGGTCTGAACTATCATTTGAAAACCAGAAATAGTACAACAAATAGGACAATTAAATATTTATGCTGGTCATATTTATAAGCCGTGTGCCAGATGTCGACTTGGACACCTTTTAACAACAGCTGTACAAGCTTCAACTCTATAAAAGAGCTAAACATCCATTCCTATCACACTATTGTGCTTCCACTGTATGTGTATCAGTGTCAATCAAGCAACTTCAATTTATACTCAGGCCAAATTTCTTTCAAACTACCAGGTAGTCACGAAGTGGAATGAATGTATGGTAACTGCACTTGAGCTCAAAGCAGCACATTTTGGATCCCAGCGAAAGGGAAAAAAGGTCACTTTGTGCTACATCATATCTGCTTCACTGAGCAAAATAATGTTACATATGCATCAGTAATCTTTTTTTCTGTTTTGTCAGCACTCGTCGTTTCTTGCATCTGGTGCAGACAAGTCAGAGACTTAGAAAGGTAATTCGGAATTTAAAACTAAAGTAAAAATTCAGGCAAGTTGACAAACTTGCAAATGGATAAAGGTTTTGTAAGCTCAATTAGCATCTAAATACCAAAGCAAGAAAACTTCAGAGGAAAAGATGTACCAGGTCTTACCATCAGTGGGCGCCATACACATGCAGTCATACTGCGTGACGTAATTGATTTTATAGTCTGAGTTGATGGGGTAATAATGAGCCAACTTCAGCATCTTCTTGAAGGAGTCATAGATGAAGATGAAGCTGATGAGCGAGGAGAAGCCCTCTTCTGTAAATCGGGTGAAATACTGCACCAGGAAACTGGCGTCGGTGGCCACTAGGACTAGACAGAAGAAGGCCGACCACAGGCCGATCCAAAGACGGAACTCTAGGTAGTCAAAGTCATGCTCCCTGCGGAAGACAGAAAATGGACAGAAAATTAACTCAATTCCCTCCAACTTTCAAATCATCCAGCAATGAAAAGTACACTACCGTTTAAAGGTTTGGGGGTGGTAAGTTATTCTTAGTGTTTTTGAAAGTCTCTTGTGCTCACCAAGGCTGCATTTATATGATCAAAAATAAAGTAAAAACAGTAATATTTTGACAAATTATTAACATTTAAGTAACTGTTTTCTATTTGAATATATTTTAAAATGCAATTTATTCCTATGATGGCAAAGCTGAATTACTGCAGTCATTGTCACATGATCCTTCAGAAATCATTCTGATATGCTGATTTGGTGCTCAAAATGATTTTGTATTATCAATGTTGAAAACAGTTGTGCTGCTTAATAGAATCTTAGTTTCAGATAACTACTAAATGGTGAGTATATGCAGTAGTTGGTTTGCAATGTCACATTCTAAACAGAGATGATGAAGCACCTGCTGAAGTTGAAGAGCAGCCTTTCAAACACCAGCACTGGCCCCGTACTGCTGAGGATTGTCAGAGGTTGCCCAGCCAGGAGACAGAACACTGCTCCAGACACCGCTGTGCCCAGAAAGCTCTCCAGCACACCCTTCATACAACACACAATGAAGGAAGAGTCAAAGGGTTAGGGACAAACCCAACTGAGGCTCAAGCTCTGTGGACAGAAAGTCTGTTTAAAGCCCTGCTCATACAGGACTAGTTTTCCTTGTTCACAGACGTACTTTGTGATTTTATCCCATGCGAATCTGTGCTTTCTCTCACATAACCTCAGTAAAAATTACAAAGCAAATGACCTACTTTCCTTTACATAACTTATGTACATAATGTTAATTCATTCTTTCAATGGATTTATCATTAATATCAAGCACACTGAATTCAATAAATTGATTTTTATTACCCATAAATTTAATTAGGTGTTGCACATGGCCTTCCATAATGCCCATATCCAGACCGTAGACTCCAACCTTCATTATTAACTAGCCCTGTCCAAATCAATACATGAAATCACTGAACTGAACAGCTTTCCTGAACTGAAACATTGACTAGCCAAAGACGTGTGCAGCAGACCTTAGCATGCATCTTTAAGACAGCTAATTATATGAACTGTGAGACTTTAACTTACTAACATGACCTTTGAACTCGTGGTAACATTTCAAAAGGAGGGCAGAGAAGAAGCAGCTCCCAGTGTGTGTCAGTTAAAGATTGACCAAGATTGAATTACACTGTAATCCTTGCCAAGGTTGGACTGATTCTTATTTAGAAAGGCTCTGGCACAGAGAGCACGTCACATTCGTACACTCATGTAGTTTCTCATGGTTTGCAGCTGTATCTTCACCTGCATGTTCTCTGTGGCGTCACCCAGCAATCCTCCGAACGTGATGGCATTGGTTACTGTTCCCAGGTAGATGAAAAGAATGGCAGACAAAGACTGGATGTGTAGTCCATCGTAGAAATCACTGAAGAAAAAGGGAGCTTTTCTTTTGATATCAAGAATAAGGCCTCCACAAAACCTGAAAAACAAAACATGACATGTTATAATTGTCACAGTGGTTTTCATTGAATTTTATTACATTTCTACATCTTATCTTAATCCGCCTTCCTCTATTCACAAAATATATTTCACTCTGTACAGTGGGGTTAAAAAAACTGAGTGAAACTGAAAATCTGGGATTTAATTCAAACCTAATAATAAACATAAAATAAACCATGCAATAATCACAAAACTTGCAGGATTTTGAACAAGGAATATTATTATATACTATTTCTAGGCCACTAATCAAAAGCAAAAGAGGGGTATACCAAATACTAAAACAATTTGAAATTCATGTTAATTTTGTTAACTATTATTAACATTTATTTTTGAAAATATTAAATATTTAAAAAAGTAGCATGTTGTTTATTGCTAATATTAATTAGTAAAAGGGATAAAAATCTATTTAGCACAAAATACTAACAGTACACAGCAGTTCCTTGCCAAAGGTCAAGTAAAAAATCTAATCTAATGATAACAGTCTGTACTCCGTAAATGGAGCACATGCTGACTTCAATGTTTGTCTAATATTAAGATAATTCTAGTCATTTTAAAGAGTCAAACAGACCTTTATCTGAACTAAACCATGGTGTTAAGAGGTTCGGCATAATCTGTTCCTTCAGAAGAATTTATACAAACATTAACTCACTTCCCCGTCTTCTTCAACTCATCGCCTACTGCGTGCCCCCCGCCCCCGTGTCCACCGCTGTGAGGCGTGTCTCCATTCATCTGTGTGCTGTCCCCTCCAGCATACATGTTCTTTCTGGACAACATAACAAGCACATGGAGATTGTTGAACACAGAACACAAAAACTTTAATGTTATTAATGCCCTAAAATAAATGTTATATGGGAGGAAAGCGAGAACAGAGAAAGAAAGATGACAAAAGACACACTCAGTGGACTCTTCATAAGTCATTTTAAAGTCCCTGCAGCCTGAAAAGCCTAAATAAAAAATGCTAGCTCATACACTGGTAGCTCACACAAATGTCTTATGCAATACAAAATAAAATACAAGATAGACATCGTAATTCAATGTTATTCTTCAGTTCCTAAAATTACAATCTAAATGCCATGATATATGAATATGTTACTCACTGAACCATCCACATGGCATGATAATCATTTATAAAAACCATGGAACGATAGATAGAACTATAGGATAATACATAATCTGATAAAATTATCAAACAATAGATAAAATGATAAAATACCAGATAAAAAGACAGACAGAGATACAGAACGACTTAATGATAGATAAAACGGTTAACTGATAAAATGATAAGATAGACAGACACACAGATAGACAGATAGAAAAAAGATTTAAAAACAGATAATTAGGGGTGGGGCGATATGACCAAAATCTTATATCACAATATAAGTCATTTTACTTCACGGTAACAATATATATTACAATATAGTTATTTTTGCTTTAAATAAGGTCTTTATGATATCAACGTTTTTGAAACCATAGAAAATTCAGAATTCTTGTCACCATTGTCAATATCACAAAAAACACGATTAAATAAGAACAAGAAACTAATTACAAGCAATAGGACAAAAAAAACTACAGTAGAACAAATAAATAAGAAATGCTCCATACATTGTATAAAGTAATCAAATGTATAAAAACACTGCATATTCTTCACTGTGTAAATTAAACATATATTTCTTATTAAATTTACAAAAGTGATTTAGCTGTCACTTTTAAGAGCTGCCTGCATCCAATATACTGTTACACATGTGTTTTCCTTTAGTTGTTTGCTTTCACTTAAGACCTAAATAACTGTGTTTATGAGGATACTTGCAAACAATGGCATTTTGATACATACAAGTGTGTGTATTTAACCGTTCAAAGGCTACAAAGTGGCAAAAATAACTCTGTTCAATACTCCCGTGCTCTATGAGCACTGTCTTCATGTGCGTTGCCAGCGCTCAGAAACAATCTCTCAGACAGCGCATGCATATAGCGAAATGAGTTCTCTTTCACTGATGATTGCATTTCAACGGCTTAAAATCACTTGTTTTTTTAAACAGCAATGCTTAAAAGCATGTGCAAACGATATGTTTTCGTGACCACATAGCACAGCAACGTCACATGAGTGTGTAACCGCGATAGAGATGATAGTCCAAAATCTCTACCGGTTTACAAATGAAAATGATAAAACAATAGAGAAAACAATAAAAGAACTGAGGGACAGATGAGAAAAGGACTTAAGATAAAACAATAGATGATAACTGTAAATTTAATTGTAAAGTTTTTTTTTTCTTACAAATGAATGGATGATAGAGACAGACAGGCAGGCAGGCAGGCAGGCAGGCAGACAGACAGACAGACAGACAGACAAATAGATAGATAGATAGATACTGTAACCAGTTCAGTCTGTTGTTTACATTCAACAAGCCACGAAAGAATGTATGAGGTCTAGTGTGTGTAGTGTGTTGTGTACACTGTGTGTTATGCTGGTGTGACTGACTGCTGCGGGCACACAGCTCTGCTTTATAGGTAATGCGGGCTGGTAAAGATTGAGGTGGCAGGATGAGGAGGCAGCCTGCTGTCACTTCACCTGAAGCCAAAGAGAAGTGACGTAATTGATCTAATTAACCGCTGCTCTGCTCCACTACACTTGATGAATGAATGGATGGCCTGGCCAACTGGCTTTTGAAACACTTCCTGACTGTGTGTGAAATACATTATGTAACACACTGTACATGGCTTAAAGGGTTTGGCTACTAATATAAAAAAGACATACACGCAGTTTCTGCTTGTCATTTGTAACAATGAAAGACTGAAATTACTTTCATTAACCCTTAAAAAACTGCCAAACTACCTCAGGGACAGCCTCAGAAATGCTATTTCACAATTGTTTGAGTCATTTCAAAACAGGAACATTGACAGACTTTGATGTGGGATATTGGTGGGGCTTCAGCAAAAGAAAGCGTGACAGGCTAATATGAGCTCCCTACATCAATTACCTTTTATCTGAGGATGGCAGGGATTTTGGTGGCTCTATCCTGATGGCAGGGTCCCATTCTCCAGGAGGGAGGACAATGACCTCATCCAAGAACTCGTCAATGCCAGCGAGGAGATCTTGTCTGTCCTTGGCTTTGTACGCAATTTCATGGAAGACCTTGATAAGAGAACTTTGATTACTGGCCAACTCTCCCCACACATGACTAATCCAAGCACAAACCTTTTTTTTTTTGCTATATAGAATTCTAACAGAACATTTCAGGCACAGCAACTCAGCATAAAAAAAATATATATATATATATACACAAATAACATTAAATTAACACTGGTTCTGTTACAGATTGCAGTCGTTTATTTTTTTTTTTAAGTGTAAAAGCAACAGTATTTAGCACTCTTAAGCCCCGTTCACACCAAGAACGATAACTATAAAGATAATGATATTAGCGTCCACACCAGCGAATGTGGTGTGGACTCTGCTATTCTATAATATTGAGAACGATTTTTAGAACTATATCTTTATCGTTATCTTTATAGTTATCGTTCTTGGTGTGAATAGGGCTTTAAACATGACTGAAGGCCATTTTCTGCTGTTGCGTGAACAAAAAAATTATGAACCAAAATAGGACAAAACATTTTCTAAGATTAGTCTGTACGTACCTCATCGGACATCAGAGTAGCAATTGCTCTACCAATTTCATGGTATGACTTGGCTTTGCCTTTGGGTCCAAGAAGAATGAACAGAAATCTAGGAAAGATAACAAATATTACCTAAAGTAAAACACACAGCTTTTCTATTGGTTTAATAAAAGCCTGTTTTGAACTCAACACCCTCCACCACTGTTATATTTTCCTCCTTGGCTTTGTGGGATAAAAGCAGGTCATACCTGCTGGGCACAGGCACTTCAGTCAGTGCCCCCAACATGACAGCCTGCTGCAGCCTCACAAAGGCCACAAAAGGACTGTCCAGGAAGTCCACTTCTCCAACGAGAACATTGGAAGCTTCAGCATCTCTGGGCAGCTTCTTCATGAACTTGTTCTTCAGCTGAACACATGCAGGATGGGATTTTAATGAAATTCAGTAAGGAGGAAGAACCGGGTAAACAAAGTGCACAAATCAAGCTCCAACACATGACCTTATTAAACATACTGCCCAGTTGGCATTCTGTGCCAAGACTTTCACGAAGATGTGATGAATCCAACAACAGCAACTGTCCAACTAATGGAAATTACAAAGATTGGTGGCTGCATGTGGGATTGTTCATTCTAGGGTTCAGCAAGGGCCCACTGTGACTCCTGCATTCTTTTACTCTTAATTCAGAGGAACCAGTAGTAACCAGTATAAGAACTGTTAAATTAATTTTATTTATATGGGTTGTTGTCGTTCGTTCCAGTGATAAAATGAAGGCCAAATTCAAAGGCAGTGGCATTTGCCAGCTCAGACTTTGAGGTCATGCCAAATGTGAAATTTACAAGCCAAAGATAATTAGTACACCCTGCACACATAACCATAAATTGTTAAGCAACTCCAACTTGTGCCTCCAAGGTCATCATTGCGAATTTTAACAGCTAAAAGTATCACAATTACTCAAGCTTGTTGCATATATAAAGTGCTTTTAGGTTTATTACTTGCAATAATGCAAACATTTACTATTCTTTAACAGTAAGACTAGCGCACAAGACAGAAATCTAATTCTAAAGCTCATAAATCTAATTTGACAGCTCTGCTGTCAACTTGAAAATGGGGTTACAATGTCAGTCATTAATAAACCAATTCCCCAGTATACTTCCCAAACATAAACAATAACATTCCCTCCTGAAAGTCTTATTGAACAGTCAGAGTAAGCGGTTTCGTTAACCATTGACGGAAGAACACTGGAAACGCAAGCACAATGGAAAACATTTAACCTGGAGCACCTGAGCACATGATGGGACAGACCTCTCACTCATCAACAGCACTAGCATCATAGATCATTTGTTTTGAAGCTCTTGCTTTTATTCCATTATACTGTTGCAAAACTATTCTATTACTGATTATCATTGAATTACTGTCGTGAGATAAAATAAGCACATATCCTGACGCATTAACATGTGTATTAATGTAATGAATGGGATGACCTTGTGTCTTGCTTTAGAAAAGATTACTTATATAAACTTGATATGTTTTGTCAATTCAGAAAGTTTTTACGACCTCTCAAAAAACCTTGATGACTCCTTTTTTATGAAATATGTAGACACTGTTTAAGAAAGATAATATTTTATTTGTACATGATGCTTTGAAATCTGCTATGCTTATTTTCCCCCTTGTTTTCTTATGATTTGGTTGCATTAAAAAAAAAACTACCATATCTCTGATCATTAAATCTACTCTATCCCCCGATGTAAAGAGATAGTTCACAAAAAAAAGAATGTTTTAAACATGTTGTTGAAAATAATGAGTTAAAGACACATGATCTAATTTCATGATACTGTTTAGTGATTTTAAAGACTCCTATTTGACCAATATGACCATCCCTACTTTGTGGGAAAAAACTTAATAAACACTGAATTCAACTCATTCTGGGAATTTAGAAAGAAAAAATACCATAGAGTGACAAAAAAGATCATGACTAAATGAAACTAAAGCAAGTGAAGAAGTGGTGGCTATAGATAGAGGGGAGTGATATCACTGATGTTAACTGGAAGCCAGATTGTAGACAGCATTAATAGAGGAGCGTAAAGAGATGATTAAGGTATTAGAAGGACACACCTTCAACAACCCATAGTGTTTTTCTCAGACTTGTATGAATGTTTACCTCTGAGCTTCATTATCTAGGAGTCAAAAAAGGGTCATCAGACGGTTATGTTTCATCAGTTAATTCATTTCAGCAGCACAGTATGCTGAATACGACATCATACAATGCATTTTTTACAATGTACAGTATGTGTTCCAATTTTATTACAGGCAACTTCTGACCTAATAATATATCACACACTCCAAGCAACTCGCATTAACATCAAATATCACATCTCTAGCTGTCCAGCTCTCTAGCAGATAGCATGTGATGTGGAAAGGCTAAGCATCATCTCTGATACTGGATTACCTCCACCGCATCAACAGGGTCTGACAGCCTGCATTTTGTGTAGTCAAGCCATGGAACAGATGACTTCCTGTTGCAGCTAATGAGAATCGAGCACTGTCACCTGAAATCTCAGTAAATATCTTTAAATAAATGCTTTACAATTGAGAGTGTTGCTGTTTTCTTCATACTGTATTTGTCTTGTTCCCAATAAAATCATTTTTGTCAAGGCTTGAATTCATGGTACTGCCTTAAGTGGGCGCTATTGCAGAAGAAAATTCAATTCATTAAGTAAGTTATTAAGCTAAATTCACAACAGCAATTTATTACATGTTGCTTAAGTTACCGTTCATTTCCAGATTCTGTGAATGTCTAATCTCAGGAAGCAGGAATGACATCATCCAAAAAAACAAAAAAAGTGTGACAAGCCATGAGGCTTTCACAGTGCATGACACGAACCCAGCCATCCCTCAATCTGCGCTTATAATCACAATCTGTCCATGTCTCTGGGCCACCTCACACAAGCAGCCTCTCAATCCCCCACTCTGCCAAACGGGGCAAGGGGCATCTCCTCTGAGTCTGTCAACAGCTGAGGCCTTCCAGCAATCACATCCACACTGGTTTATTCAGCACACAGCACACGCACAAGAACACTGTCAAACATTTGCCAGCTATTTCACTTAATGCTGCATTCAGCAAGAAGGGATGTATTCCCACGTAAAAAGGAAAGATTCTACAATTCCTCTGAGGTGAACTTCTGTGAAGTGAGTTAATTTTTATGGTTTGTCACAGATTGACACCACCCTAATGACCTCCTGGTGCTCTGTCAATGAGAGCCCAAGAACTTCCCGTTAGGAATGGAAGTCTGTATTTCACACTAGCCCTATCCTTGTGCTTCTGTTCTGTTCATCTAAGCGCAATGTCCTATTTTATCATTAGGAAAACATTAGCTTCATCATTCTTGTCATAGTGACATTGACTGTGATGTGCACAGATTTTTGGCAATCCAAATTGCAGTCAATTACAGATGCTTTTATATTTTTACATGTATACATGTTTTTAATATTTGATTATTAATAACATGTTATATTGCATTCCAGAGGTTGGGGTTGGAAAGTTTTTAAATGTTTCTGAAAGAGGTCTCAAGCTCAACAAAGCTGCATTTATTTAATTATAGTAAAAATAGGAATACTGTGAAATATTGTTAAAATTTAAATAAATATTTTACATTTTAATATATGTGACCCTGGACCACAAAACCAGTCATAAGGGTCAATTTTCCGAAATTGAGATTTATAAATCATCTGAAAGCTGAATAAATAAGCTTTCCATTGATGTATAGATTTTTAGGATAGGACAATATTTAGATACAAGTATTTAAAAATCTGGAATCTGAGGGTGCAAAAAAATCTAAATATTGAGAAAATCGCCTTTAAAGTTGTCCAAATTAAGTTCTTAGCAATGCATATTACTAATCAAAAATTAAGTTTTGATATATTTACGGTAGGAAATTTACAAAATATCATCATGGATGATGATCTTTACTCAATATCCCAATGATTTTTGGCATAAAAGAAAAATCAATAATTTTGACCCATACAATGTATTGTTGGCTATTGCTACAAATATACCTGTGCAACTTATGACTGGTTTTGTGCTCCAGGGTCACATATGTTAAAATGTAATTTATTCCTGTGATAGCAAAGCTTAATTTTCAGCATCATTACTCCAGGCTTTAGTGTTACATGATCCTTCAGAAATCACTCTAATATGCTGATTTGGTGTTTAATAAACATTTAATACTATTATCACCATTGAAAACAATCTAATATTACAGTTTACTGTTTATTATTTCTGTCAAAACCATACTATTTTTAAGGATTCTTTTGACGAATAGAAAAAGAATAGAAAGTACAAAATAACAACATTTATTTAAAATTTAAAACATTATAAAAGTCTTTACTGGAACTTTTAATCAATTTAATGCATGCTTGCTGCATAAAAGTTAAAAATATATATATATTCCTGGCCCCAAACACACACAAACACATGAACAATCTTGAAATTGGACTCACCTGATCTTTCTCTGGTTTGTCTGAGATATCGTTCAGGCTGCTTGATGTCAAGTTGCGATGTGTGGTGGTTGGACTACCTAATCAAAATTAATGAAAATAACAGATCAATGAAAAAGACCCAAATTGAAAAGGGCACTGTTCCATTATTTTAAACACAAAGTTTTAAAAAATAGTCTACAAAGAAATCCAAATGCAGGATAAGCAAGGGAACTGAATGTCAGATGAACCATTGGTGAATCAGTGGGACTGACAACACTGCACAGGACATTAATATTTTTTCACAGGCTCTGAATTGCTCCATGCTTTGAGTCCATGCTTTTAAAAGTAAAATAACTTAAATTAGGAAAGGTGATGTGCCAGGCAAGAAAGGAACCTACTGAAAGGTTAACTATTAACCTTGCAGAGTCCAAGTCATTGTCATCATTGCTGTGAACAGCATAGCAGGAGAACAGCACAGTGAAGCAAAGTATTCCCAATGCCACAGACTTATATTGACTAAGATGTCAGTTTGATGCAGCCAAAAGAAGAAAAAAAGCAGCCAAAAGAAGAAAAAGGAGGCTAAATATAGATGAGGGAGGTTTAAAAAAGAAGCTTCATTTATGAAGCACTTAAAAAGAAAGAAAGAAAAAAAAGAGTAGTAACTTGAAAAAAAAAGAACAAGAAAAAATACTTCACATCCACCTTCAGATCAGAGCTGCTCATTAATATGGTTATGGTCATGATGATACGGTGATCTCCAGTGGAAAGTTCCACAGAAATGAGTCCAATGTGATTATTAGAAGACTTTGGAATTTAAATCTATTAAGGGTGAAGATCACCATAACAGGAAATTCTAGATATGAAAATCTATTACATAACAATGACTACAGGACTGACTAGCTAAACATAGATGGTCACAACAACAAATAAAAAAGGTCATATCACTCAATCTAAAAATAGGTTCTTTATTGGCATCAATGGTTCCATGAAGAATCTTTAACATCCATGTAACCTTTTCATTGCACAAAAGGTTCTTTATAGTGGAAAAAGTTTCTTCAGATTATTAAAACATTCTTTACACTATGTAAACAGTTCACTTAAAAGTTCTTTGTGGAACCAGAAACGAATGATCTGTGCATCGCAGCAAAAGCTTCCTTTGAAACCCTTATTTTTAAGAATGTACATTTTGTATGATTTCATTTGTCCCTAAGGTGTTATTTAGTTATTCAATGAACTCTTTAAATGGTAGAAGATTTGGTTCCTCGTGATATGACCCTTTGAAGCTACAATGCTATGCTATTCTATCACAGCTACTTCACGTGGGGTGAAGGGACACATATACATGTACTGGCAACTGGTAAGTTGGACTTACTAGGCCATCCCATGCTTGGACTTCCAGGGGCTCGCAACACCTCCTCTGAGTTGCGAGTCATTAGACAAGGCACTGAAGTCTCAAGTGGATTACGTGCTTTTAGTGACAAGTGCAGCAGAAAGGATAAAGGATGGTAAGAAGGGTGAAAAGATAAGATTGTTAAGGTGAGGTCAGTGGTTTTAGGCATAATGTTTAGCTATTTTTGCAAAAGATTGTGTGAGACTGGTGTAAAATCACTCAGGAAAAGATAGGATTTGTTATAGAGGTAGAAAAGCACAGTTAAAGCAAGTTTTTTTTTTCAGGAAACAAAAGTTGTGGTGAATAACATTTATGTCACATTCAAAAAGTCCAATGGTCAACGAATCACAGGATTCATGGTTTAAAACCTGTGCACATGCAGCCTATAAAAGCTGGAAAAATGCTGGCACGATCTTTGTGTAAAATTTTATCAATACACTATTTGTCTTAACTGAAGGCATGAAAATATCATTGCCAAAAATCAAATGATCCTTTTGACCATTGCTTTATTTGAAGTGTTGTCTGTGTTGTCCATGTTGTCTTTTAAACACTGCTCTAAGATTAGTTTATTAGTTCGCCAGTTCATAACAGTTCACAATCTCAACAATGTAATGAAACAGCCTATTCTGTGCATCACTGAAAAATATATGCATACAGAGACAGGACAGACTAAAAATCAAGGACTGAAAAGAAACAAGTTAATATTTAAAGACCCCATGAACTCTTTTAGTGTCTTCTAGCTCTCCCTATATGCTTGTGTACTCCTAAAAAATGCCTAAATTAACATTTAACGGATTCTGATTACACAGAGTTTTGACTCTCTGGAATGAGAATGTTCCTCCCCTTAATATGACCTGTACCTGCCTAAAAAGCAAGCACTTTGCTAAAAGCAAGCAGCAAATCATGATCATGGCTGTGATGTAATTAAAGCTTAATGATTATTTAATCCCTTTGATATGTCACACACAAACCTAATGTTGTAAGAGAAAATACACCACTGTTTAAAAGTTTGGGCTCAATAAGATTCTTTATGTTTTTGAAAGAAGTCTCTTCTCACCAAGGCTGCATTTATTTAATCGAAAATACAGTAAGAATACAGCAGTATTGTGAAACAGCCTTGTCTTCAGCGTCACATGATCCTTCAGAAATCATTCTAATATGCTAATTTGGTGCGCAAGAAACATTTATTATATATCATCAAAGTTGAAAACAGTTGTGCTGCTTAATATCAGAAACCATGATACATTCTTTCAGGATTCTATCATGAATAGAAAGTTAAAAAGAATAGAATTTATTAGAAATAGATGCATTATAAATGTTTTCCTGTCACTTTTAATCAATTAAATGTGTCCTTGGTGAATAACCAAGACAAAGCAAAAAAATAAAAAATAATTCAACAGTAGTGTCAACACAAAAGAAGGTGCTTGTCAAGTGATTTCATGGAGTCTTTAAAACATACAGAGACAACTACTTATAAAAAAGGAAAAATATAAAAAGGCTTCATCTATGCTGAGTCAACAATGAGTCAGCAAATTGGTAAAACATTAGTAAAACAATTATTGCGATCTGTGTGACTAATGCATTTAAATATGTAAAAATGTAACGATAAGGACGTAAATCTCCTGAATAAAATTTGAGGAGTAAAATAAAAATATTTGGTATTCTTCAGTTATCTTTAAGAATAACACAAGAAAATTCAAAACACAAAATCAAAAAAGATAAAAGAATTAGAACAAATTATATTTTTGAAAAGTGTGGAAAAAAACAATCCACAAAAGATTTCATAAAACTGAAGAAAAAAGAAACATCTTAATATAAAATCTATAAAATATAGCAATAATAATATAAAAAATCTTAATAGCTTAAAAGTAAAAAGGAGGGTAAAAAATAACTGCACCAAACTGGCACCTATATTACCATTATCCGGGGTGGAAAACAGCCTACTTGCGCTGGAGACCGTCTTGCCAATGTCAGCTAAGGAGCGAAGATTGGATTTCTTGGTCTGGTGGCGATGCTTCCTCAGCAAGGTGTACATGACCTTATCTTTCAGGTCAGCTTTCAAGAGACCGTTCTCAATCTGACTGTCAGTGATCATTTCTGAAAGAGAGAGACAGAGTGAATGCCAAACAGAGACAGGTAGACAGCGAGAAAGCAAAATTGGCATTAGAAGAGACCTGCCTTGTGGTTATTTTGCTTCTATAGATTTTGAGAAGCTCATTACGACCCCTTCACAACTGAGCAAACTTTTAACTAGAACTTGAAATTGGACTCTCCAAAGGAACTTGAAGTGAGTGTCAGTGAAAAAAAAATGAAGTGAAAAAGTGAAAAGTGAAGTGACACATTGCCTTCTATTCTTAGCCTTCAGAAGTGGACATCTAATGAGGCAGTGGCTTGTGCGTAAGATTGTCTGGTGGTTCCTGTAAGCATCTATTTTTATAAAAGAGGGTCAAAGACACGAGGCCTGGGCCCTTTTTGTGAATGGTTTGGCTCTTAATGGCCGATCCTTCAAATCATTTTTATCTCAAAAGGCACACTATGAGGTTGACTGAGCTTAACTCGGCCAAACTTAAGATTTGCTTTAAACTGATAATATGACTTGACACATCATGCTCTGAGTAAGAGATACGGCTGGGGATTCAAGATTCATTTGATTGGTGGCTGTGGTTACAATCTCACCAGCCATCTTTAAATCCAGAGAGCTGCAGTAAATGTCTCTCTTTTTTTTTAACCAATCCTCCTTCCTAAAAGGAAGCTTTTACAAAATAATCACAAGAATCACATACTTTGCTATCAGTGCACTACAGTTATTTAACGGCCACACAATTTTCATTCTGATCTTCCTCACGCACTGCCTGAATTCAGTATAAAAGAAATGGCCATCCTGAATGGATGCAATCACCCGTGCATCTGAGCCCAGAGTTACAGCGAGGGTTGAGAGAGGACTGTATTAAACAGAGCTATGAATACATCCTGACATGTGAGCATTTGGAAACCAAATAAAAATGGGCTGTGCTGGCCGAGACCATGCATGCATATCACACGTGCTATCTCTTAGACCTTACAGTAACAGTACATTTGGAAAAGCTTTTTCTCATAGTCTGATCTGCTCTAAAGTGTTACCTTTATGATATTTATTTTGCCCTTTGTCCACTGACAGGGTGCCAGTGCTGGTGGTAGAGCTGATGCCCTACATGAAAGCATTCTGTATGCTTCTATTACAGAAAAGGCAGCTCCATGACAGAAAAAAATTTCTCCTAAAACCTGCTCGTACAAAACCATGACTGATGCAAAATTAACATTGCATAAAACTTGTTTCACCCATTTGACAGACATCCTGTCCATACAGACAGTTTGTCAAATTGCACAGCAACACTTTATTGCCATCATGCATCTAATAAAAATGACAATACTATATCATGTTAATTTATTGCTATACATTTTTTAAAAATAATTTTTGGCCTTTGCATCAAAAGCGATTTATGATTGCCTAAATACGCTGAATCACATCATAACTTTTCAATACGAAGGTCCAAAAATCAAACTTGATTGAGGGCTGTGGGCCAAATGTAAATGTTGCATTGTGTGTGTTTGTGTGTGTGTATATGTATATATATTAAATTAACAAAACAATTTAAATACTTATGTTTAAATAACAATATGTGACATTTTTTATGATTTTTTAAA